AGAACAGCCCCTCTCCTTCCAACACCGGGAGAACAGCCCCTCTCCTTCCAACCCCGCTCCCCGCAGCCCCGCACACCGTTCCCCGTCGGCCCCATCAGCCGCTCCGTTCAACCCAAACGAAAAGTGGTTTCACTTCTTTAAACAGACAAACAAACCAACCAACCAACAAACAAACTTTTTTCTTAACCTTTTCTTTTTCCCCCCCTCCCTCCCGCTGGAGCGTTGACGGCAGCAGGAGCGGTTCTTTTGGTTTTGTTTGGGTTTACTAAGTACTGTTCGTCGCTCGTAATTGCTTGGATTGTACGCAAACGGGTCTCCTGCTCTGGGAAGTTTGTGACCTGGCCCTGGATGTTATTCGTGGGAGATGGCTGCTTAACTCGCACGGCTGCGAGGAGAGACACAAAATATATACATTTATATATACACACCCGTACAGAGACATCTCGACGTTATAACAGCATCTAACTTGTCTAACAGAACCCTGAGCTGAGGAAAAATCAGTGTTCTATTCATCCAGCCAGCCCTCGAGATGAGAACCCTTAGACAAAACAGCCTTCCCTAAACATCTGCAGCAACAAGTATCTTTTTTTTTTGTGTGTGTGTGTGTGAACAAAATGAGCACAGGATAGGAAAAATGAGGCAAGAATGCAGTTGACAAAACCAGCTGTTCCTAAATTAATGTTTGCAAATGCTTGGGCCAGTTCTTCAGCTGAAGACTTCAAAAGTCGTCAAAAGACTTGGGCTGGTTTGTGCTATTTAAAGATTTGGCCCCTGGTTTTGCAATGAATTCATCCAGCTCTATTAGTTACAGAAGCATTACAAAAGATTGGTTATTTTTAATCTTCACAGGGTCCCTCCTTTGAGCAGCTTTGTACCTCTCAAGGTCAAAAATCCCATTTCCACGTCACATTTCAGCTTGGGTCAGCGGGATAGTTGGTGTTTTTACTGGGAGCAGCTGTTCCCTCCCAAAGTTTGCTGAAAGGACTCACCCTCCACAGAAAAAGCAGAGAAGCACCTGCGTTTGTTGTCACTTGAGCTGATGAGAACTCACTCACTGGGGTGGCTGACGAGCAGAAATGACACTGCTGTTTCCTGAAAAAAAAAAATAAAAAAAGGGGAAAAAAAAAAAAAAAGAGCTTTTTTGGCACTCCAGATGCAGGAACTCGGTAACAAAAAAATCCAAACCCAACAAAAAGCGCTGGAGAGCTGGGCTATGACTTCAGCTGGGGAAGTGCCAGAATCCAAATTTGGGTGGGGAGAACTGCCCCTGTTTTCTAGGCAGAGAAGTTCACGAGCAATTTAATAGCTATTAGTGCTGGTTGTCTGGGTTTTTTTTTTCTCTCTCTTCTCCCTGTCTTGCACTGGAGCAGATGACTGTCCCTAGGTGGATTCCCAAATGCCCACATGGAGCAGGAGGAGCTGGGCACTGCTGGGCTCAGTGGTCAGACGAGCAGCATGAACTGCAGTTTCCTCTCTTCTATTCCCGGCTCTGAGTCACTGTGTGATCTTGGTTCAGGCCCAGGCAGCCAGTTTTAAAGCAGAAATTGCAGGCTGTGGTGCTGGACACTCCTGGATGTCACTGAGAGGAGGCTCTGCTCATCCCGCTGGGACACTGGCACTGGGGACCTCAGAGCTCTACACGTATCCACACCAACAACAGGGGCTGGGGCAGGGCATAGAAAACCTTGTTTCTCTCAAAAGTCACAGGATAAGTTAACATTTAGTGTTTCATACCAGTACAGAAGACCAAAACCTCTTGGAGGTGCAGAGGGTTTGCTCAGAGTCACAAAATCACTGAGGTTGGAAAAGACCCCCAAGACCCTTGAGTCCACCCTGTGACCAATCCCCACCTTTTCCCCCATCCCAGGGCACTGAGGGCCACCTCCAGTCCTTCCTTGAACCACCAAGCTTTGCCTGCAGGGCCTCAGGGGGGAGAAGGACACATCACCACAGACACAAAATCCAGCCACACACTGGTGGAACTTTCACTCCTCCCTCCTCGGGCCCTTCCTTCCTTCCGGGTGACACGTCCCCAGAACTGAGCAAAACCAAAGGAACCTGGCATTTCCAGCCACTGGAGATCCCACCCCGAGTTCCCAGGAGCACTTTGGCAAGAGCTCAGTTGGGATCTTCAGTGGAATCAGCAGCTCTGAAAATTTAGACCATGAACTAAACCATGTACCCAAACACAGCAATAACAGCCTGACCTTGGTCATACCCTGGTTTCACTGGATCCAGTCCTGGGCTTATAAATGGGCCTAATAATTTATTCTGAAGCAGGATGAGAAGCTTCAGAATAATGCAGGATTGAGCCATCATGGGAATCTGCAAACCAGAATTATCTATCAAGCAGGGGAAATACGGAGTCAACTGCCACCCCAGCTGCTCGTGCCTGATTAGATCATGGCACAGATTTGCCCTGGTCTTATCTAAATCTCATGTACCCAGCCAGGCAGAGCTCGTGGTATCGACCAGAATATGGACAGGGGTTGGGAAGCACCACATGTGGCAGAGAAAACAAGGAGCCAGGGAGCAGGAGACCTGCCAGCTTCACCTGGGCACAGGCTGAGCTGTGACAGTTCAGATTCCTCTGCTGCAGCCCCACAGAGAGAATGCACGACCCTGAACCCCTCCAGAGATGAATTTCATGGGTGCTCTGATCGACTCTGGGAGCCCCAGGCTGGCCTAAGGGCGGCTTTGAGCCCGTTTTGTGCTTAATTACAGAAAATGCAAGTCCTGACCTTGATTGCAGAGCAGCTGCTGACTCACAACCCAAACCTTTCTCTCCCTGTGAGCCGAGAACACAAACCCAACCTCAGCACCCCACCCAGGGAGGCTGAGTGATATTTACAGAGAACTCAGTCACCAAAGGTGGAAAAGTGTCAGAGAAATGCCTGTAGGAACACACTTTGGTGGTGTTTGGTGCTGCTGCCTCCAGAACAAAGGTGGGAATTCACACTGGGGGCTTTCAGAGGGATCTTCCCTGACAAGTTGACACTTCTAAAACTCTTGTGCCTGTCAGGAGTGATGCTGGCAGGAGATGGACTTGGTATAATTGTGTTTAATGGATCTTTAGAGAGAAAAAGGCACTGGGACAGGCACAGGCAGCACGGGCTGTTTGTACTTGAGGTACCAGAGCAGGCAGCCGCACTTCGGGGCTGATCTTCGCTCTCTCTCTAAACAGGAAATGTATTTTTGTCTCAGGCACTTCAGGAGAAGCCACCAGGCTACAGCTTTCAGAGCGTGGGGTGCCCCAAAAAAGAGCATTTTGACTCCCTGACGAGGCCTGAGAGGCGGTGGGTGGGTGCCCAGAGCAGCAGGGCCTGGAGCGACAGGGACCCTCCAACACGTCAGGGTGGAAAGTCAAGGGGTGGGAAAGGGAGCTGCAAAGTCAGCTCTTGCACAGGCAAAAACTGCCCCAGTCAGCACCAGTGAGGAGGGAGAATCTGGGGCAGGGAAACGGCAGGGATTGCATTTTTCATGCCTTGGTAGAGGCACAGGTTGGCTGGAGCTCTGAGCGAGGTGGAAGGTGTCCCTTCCCAGGGCAGGGGGTGGGATGACACGAGCTTTAAGGTCCCCTCCTGCCAAAATCCTCCCGGGATTCTGTGATTGGCTGGAGCAGTGCCAGGCTGGAAGGTGCCCGTTCCTGGGGAGGGGGGCTGAAGGGAACAGCACAACGTTCTTGCTTCCTCTCCAACAGCAAAGCCAAGCTGCAACATCCCACAGCCTCACTCTGTCCTTCCTCAGTGTCACAACCCCCAGCTAACGGTGCAGGCAGTTTTCCCTGGGTGAGGCTGCAGGGAGGACACTGGATCAACCCTCTATCAGCTTTGC